AGTGAATAATGCAACTGGGTGGTGTGTTTATAGTTATTATTGGTAAAAAAAACTTTATATTTTTCAAGAATCATTATTTTGTGACGTTGAAATCGTATTTTGGTTCAAACGTAATTTCAAGTAATTATATTCTATACTTGGTCATCTCCAGTACCCTATTGTCTTATATGCTTAAAGGGACTGTATATGTAATATCTTCTCTTATATGCCTAAAGGGACTGTATATGTAATATCTTCTCTTATATGCCTAAAGGGACTGTATATGTAATATCTTCTCTTATATGCCTAAAGGGACTGTATATGTAATATCTTCTCTTATATGCCTAAAGGGACTGTATATGTAATATCTTATCTTATATGCCTAAAGGGACTGTATATGTAATTTCTTCTCTTATATGCCTAAAGGGACTGTATATGTAATCTCTTCTCTTATGTGCTTAAAGGGACTGTAATGTAATTTCTTCTCTTATATGCTTAAAGGGACTGTATATGTAATTTCTTCTCTTATTGCTCAAAGGGAATGTAAATGTAATATCTTCTCATATGTATATGTAATTTCTTCTCTTATATGCTTAAAGGGACTGTAAATGTAATATCTTCTCTTATATGCCTAAAGGGACTGTAAATGTAATTTCTTCTCTTATATGTTTAAAGGGACTGTAAATGTAATATCTTCTTTTATATGCTTAAAGGGACTGTAAATGTAATATCTTCTTTTATATGCTTAAAGGGACTGTAAATGTAATATCTTCTCTTATATGTTTAAAGGGACTGTAAATGTAATATCTTCTTTTATATGCTTAAAGGGACTGTAAATGCAATTTCTTCTCTTATATGCCTAAATGAAATGTAAATGTAATTGCAAGTAACCCTTCGATCATTCTTAAAATGACATCTCAGATTAAAACTTTTATGATAAAGATAATTTCGTTTTTTTTGTCTTAAATGTGTTTTCTTAATTGTTTATGTAGCATAAACTTATCAAGAGAAAGATGCCACAGCTGAAAATAATTAATTTTCAGTTAGAAAATCAAGGATATATGGTGAATTCTTTATAATTGTTTAAAGGGTGCCGTTGTGAATTGGCCGTACCACCCAATAATCAATATATATGTAATTATCGTCCTAACAATTAATTGAATTATGGAGGTCTCTTTAAACTTTATTTTGACAAATGATAAACAATTTTTAAACTATGATGCTCGGCAATTATATCAATATAATGAAAACAACATTTGATCAAGCTTTTAAACAGCATGGATACAGAAAAACATGGAAACAAAGAGAAGCAGCCAATTAAAAAAAATTCTCTTTAATTATTTTTAAATTTATAATTCGAAAAAAGCTTGTTAACAATTAAAACTTAAAGAAAAAAGTCATCTTGATTATATTGATATCATCGCCTACCACCATATTATATACATACATACAATACATAAGTCAGGGCTTATGTGCCCCTGTCCTAACAATTCATTGGTTTAGGATTGAAGCACTTGTGCTCCTGTCCTAACAATTCATTGGTTTAGGATTGAAGCACTTGTGCTCCTGTCCTAACAATTCATTGGTTTAGGAAGCCTATATGCTCCTGTCCTAACAATTCATTGATTTAGGAAGCCTATATGCTCCTGTCCTAACAATTCATTGATTTAGGAAGCCTATATGCTCCTGTCCTAACAATTTGATTTAGGAAGCCTATATGCTCCTGTCCTAACAATTCATTGATTTAGGAAGCCTATGTACTCCTGTCCTAACAATTCATTGATTTAGGAAGCCTATATGCTTCTGTCATAACAATTAATTGGTTTAGGAAGCCTATATGATCCTGTCCTAACAATTCATTGCTTTAGGAAGCCTATATGCTCCTGTCCAAACATTTCATTGATTTAGGAAGCCTATATGCTCCTGTCCTAACAATTTATTGATTTAGGAAGCCTATATACCTAACAATTCATTGATTTAGGAAGCCTATATACTCCTGTCCTAACAATTCATTGATTTAGGAAGCCTATATGCTCCTGTCCTAACAATTCATTGGTTTAGGAAGCCTATATGTTCTTGTCCTAACAATTTATTGATTTAAGAAGCCTATATACTCCTGTCCTAACAATTAATTGGTTTAGGAAGCCTATATACTCCTGTCCTAACAATTAATTGGTTTAGGAAGCATATATACTCCTGTCCTAATAATTCATTTGTTTAGGAAGCCTATATACTCCTGTCCTAACAATTAATTGGTTTAGGAAGCATATATACTCCTGTCCTAATAATTCATTTGTTTAGGAAGCCTTGGTGCCCCTATTCTAACAGTTCTTTGACAAAAGAAGCCTATATGTTCTTGTCCTAACAATTTATTGATTTAAGAAGCCTATATACTCCTGTCCTAACAATTCATTGATTTAGGAAGCATATATACTCCTGTCCTAATAATTCATTTGTTTAGGAAGCCTTTGTGCCCCTGTTCTAACAGTTCTTTGACTAAAGAAGCACTTAGGCTCCTGTCCTAACAATTCGTTTATTTAGGAAGCCTATGTGCGCCTGTCCTAACATTTGATTGAATTAGGAAGCCTATATGTTCCTGTCCTAACAATTCATTGATTTAGGAAGCGTATGTGTTCCTGTCCTAACAATTAATTGATTTAGGAAGCGTATATGCTCCTGTCCTAACAAGTAATTGATTTAGGAAGCGTATATGCTCCTGTCCTAGCAAGTAATTGATTTAGGAAGCCTATGTGCTACTGTCCTAACAATTTATTGATTTAGGAAGCCTATATGCTCCTGTCCTAACAATTCATTGATTTAGGAAGCCTATATGTTCCTGTCCTAACAGTTAATTGATTTAGGAAGCCTATCTGCTCCTACCCTAAAAATTCATTGGTTTAGGAAGCCTATATGCCCCTATCCTAACAATTCATTGGTTTAGGAAGCCTATGTGCTCCTGTCCTAACGCAAGATCCAGCAAAATGTCCACCAACAATACTTTGTAATGAGGTAAGATGTTGATAGAGGGGGGGACTTGATCTTCAAAATAATTTTTGCTGTTTTTCTAAAATAATTCTCAATTTCTTCATAAACCTATTTAGGTCGAAAACCGGAAGATATCCATGTCCATAATTGTTCAGTAATTTTAATTGAACTTTTATTTTGTATAATTTAAAAATGATTAATTTTATTGCTTTTGAAGTTATTTTTCGCGTACTATGACCTATTGGAATGGGATACAGGAATTGGATTAGCTAGGATCGGTCCCTTTTCTAGCAACAAATTTAGGTTTTAAATGTTGGATTCTAAGCCGCCATTTGTTCTTCGAACTCCATCGATCAAACTAAACATTTTGCGGATTTTCCTGTTTATACAGGGTGTCCCACATCAAATAAGACCGCGTCAATGGGTCTAAATTACGATTTTAGGGAAAAATCAGAAAAGGTAAGAAGAATTAATCGTTTTGAAAATTTAATAAGGTTAATATAGAAATTTTTCTTCTCAGAGAATGCTAGATTTTTCGAGTTTTATGTGCGTATTTTGGCGTTAAAGATTGGAAATAATCTAAAAGTAGCAAGACGACTTGAAGGTCGCCTTTGATCTTTAGAATGATTTACGGCATTTATTCGTTAACCAAATTTTAGAAGTAGAATTCTAGAGTTCATAGTCACAAAAAACTCCTGGTCTTGGCATCTCCAAAATGTGGTCTGCCTTTTTGTTCTCTCAATACTACCGTAGATATAGTTAATTTTTTTGTTTAGATTTCGACAATTTTGGTTTTATTTTAAAAAATTGAAATCTGAACGAAATTCTCATTATATCCGGTAATAGTGACTGCACAAAAAAGGCAGACCACATTTTGGAAATCCCAGGACTAGGAGAATTTTGTGATTATTGTTTCAAGAATCATACATGTGAAAGAAGGTTGACTACTGAATGTCTCCAATTAATTAAAAAAATCAAAGACAACTTTCAAATTGTCTTGCTAATGTCAAATTTTAATTCATTCCAGTGCCTTAATTAAAAAAAACTTAAAATCCACTTAGTTTGAACTGTTTTAAAGAATAAGTAGTTGAATCAGCTAAACCTATTTCAAATACCTTTATATATCTTTATTTTGTTCATAAATTTCAATCTTTGTTACTACAGACTCAGTGGGACCCTACCCATAAATTGCGAAGCCGGCTGTTAGATGAACAGTCGATTCACATTTTACTTAAAGGGACTGTAAGGGTAATTTCAAATGACCCTTCATGCAAATATGCCTATAGCCTCATTAATTCACAACGATATTGTTTTTTTCTGATCAATAATGTAGAAGATATCGTCGTTTTTCTAGACTTAATTATGATAATTGCAGTAGAAATGCTGTATATTACTTTGTAGAAAATCCACGATTAAAAATAATAAGTTTTCAAACTGATAAACATCGATATATCTGATTTATACTTGATCAGGGAAAGGTTTAAAAGGTACCGTTGTATGGAGGGTCACTTGATATTAAGTACGTCGCACAGTCCCTTTAATTTAAGTCGATATTCAAGCAACAGGTGAAATTATAAACATATTATTGGATTAATGGTATTTTCCTTTTTCACAGTTATATTCGAGCAAACAAAATCTCGAGTTAAAATCGAGTAAAACTCGACTTTTGCCTTCCAGAAGTGGAGTTTTAATCGAGTTTAAAAGTGGAGTTTTCGCCTGCAATAGTCGTGCCATATCTGGAGGAAAAATCGACTTTTCGCCAAGTTGGGGGTTGTAAAAAGTGATGATGACTGGATGATATCTGGATGATTTCTGGGTGATTTTTGGATGATTTCTGAAAAATTAAGTCGATACTTCATCCAGTTGGTGACTGGAATTCAAAAATGGAGTTAAAGTAGAGTTTAAGTGGAGTTTTGAAGTAGAGTTTAGGACAACTAGTTATCATCTAGTTGTATCATCTAGTTGTATCATCTAGTTGTGTTTCCTGGGATGGGTCTCACTGTAGAGATATTAGTAAAGTTCTTCTATTTAGGATAGCAGGGAATATACACTGCTGAAAACATTTGAAAATGTTGATGATTTCTGTGATTGCTGTCAAGAGAAATATGTTCCGTACATAGGAAAGCATGTATTTATTATGTACAGTACAGTTTACACAGAGCCCAAAACTTAAGACATAGTATCGTAATGAAAACCAGTTTTAAAACCCGGGTTTCGCGAATGGGGTTAGGCAGTTTTGTGAATATCAAAATTCTTGTAATGAAATATTATTTTTTCAAGTTGTTTATATTCTCCATTTTTTTCGAATCTCTTAAATCAAAATCTACACAAATGCTAAGACCCCAGAAAAGAAACTCGGTAGTTTCGTTCAACGATACTCTTTTAAATTTCGGGCTCNGCTTTAAGATTTACAAATGTTTAGACAAAGTTTAGAAAAACTCTTAAAATGTTGAATTTTGTGTTCCGCCACTTTGAGAATAGTCTCAAGATAGTATGATCATTGATCGATAATGGCGAGAAAAAAAAGTTTCTAGACTAAAGTTGCTAGTAAGCCAGAATGTAAGCAAAAATAAATTCGTACAATCATCTCCTAAATTTTATTCTTTGTGGGTATATTGTAACCCTATAATAAACAAGATTTATGCATTAGAAAAAATTAATCTAAAAATCTTTTTTAAAACTAGTTTGTTTACATGTTTTCAGGGCTGGAATTTAAAGAATTTGAGGCCGCGGTTTAAATCCGCCAAAATCCGTTTTAAATTCAGCGCCGGCCTAAATCTTGAAACATTTGATACAATTTTAAGTGGAACCGACCATATTTAAACCGCTACTTAAATTTAAACCGCCGCTCAAATTCTTTAAATTCGGCCACAGGGCGCTTAGCTTTTTCTTGCTGTTTTATTTTTAAGCCTTTCGTGCAGTTTAGAATAAAAACCAATAAAGTCTCAGACTTTCCTGTTTTGTTAGCGGATTGGCAAAATTAAATAAAATTGTAATACTTTTGAAGAAAGATTTTCTAGATGTGTCAAGCCACAGAAAAATTGGACTTGATCGGTTCAGCCGTTTCGGCGTTTATTGGAGACAAACAAACAAACACACAAACAAGCTTAACAAATCAAATATATCATATAAATGCATATTTTACCTGAAGAGGAAGGAGAAAGATGCTTTCAAACTATTTCAAATTATGATCTTCCATCGAAGGTAAAAAAAAATTATTCCCTTAAAGGGACAGACCGGCTATGTAAGGTAGTTGAACTGAGTATGCAGTGTTGTGGAAAGTTTCTTTAGGATTCATTTGATCGAAAATCGGCGCGAATTAAAAAGATGCCTAACAAATTTATTTTATCTTAACATTAAAAATAAATCTATATTTTTTTTGTTAGTTTCTTGTCGTAAAATACTAACATTACATGCACCAGTTATGATTCATATAATGTAAACAACAAATATGTGAATTCCCTTCCGTTTCCTTTATTTTAGAATTGGTGGGAAATATTCTCACAACCTCTAATTTTGGAGGTTTTTTAATATTTTCTCCTGAAACACTTAATCTTGTATGTTTTTGTTAAATTTCATAAATAAATAATTACTTTCTTACTAATTTTCAGGTAACTCTGTAGTTATGAGTAATACCTTTATCAAAAAACAATAAATGCTAGCATGCAGGAATTTCAATTTTGTTCTTATCTTCCTTGATAGATATATAGATAGATAGATAGATACTTTATTATTTTTAAGATAAGATTATTAATTAATTTGGAGTGAATAATGCAACTGGGTGGTGTGTTTATAGTTATTATTGGTAAAAAACCTTTATATTTTTCAGGAATCATTATTTTGTGACGTTGAAATCGTATTTTGGTTCAAACGTAATTTCAAGTAATTATATTCTATACTTGTTCATCTCCAATTTACAACAGTACCCTTGAAAACATTGTCTCATATGCCTAAAGGGACTGTAAATGTAATTTCTTCTCTTTTTTGCCTAAAGGGACTGTAAATGTAATGTCTTCTCTTATATGCCTAAAGGGACTATATATGTAATTTCTTCTCTTATATGCTTAAAGGGACTGTAAATGTAATTTCTTTTCTTATATGTCTAAAGGGACTGTAAATGTAATTTCTTCTCTTATTTGCCTAAAGGGACTGTAAATGTAATTTCTTCTCTTATATGCCTAAAGAGACTGTAAATGTAATTTCTTCTCTTATTTGCCTAAAGGGACTGTAAATGTAATTTCTTCTCTTATATGATAAGGGACTATATATGTAATCTTTTCTATTATATCCTTAAAGGGACTGTAAATGTAATTTCTTCTCTTGTATGCCTAAAGGGACTGTAAATGTAATTTCTTCTCTTATTTGCCTAAAGGGACTGTAAATGTAATTTCTTCTCTTATATGCCTAAAGGGACTGTAAATGTAATTTCTTCTCTTATTTGCCTAAAGGGACTGTAAATGTAATTTCTTCTCTTATATGCCTAAAGGGACTATATATGTAATTTCTTCTCTTATATGCTTAAAGGGACTGTAAATGTAATTTCTTCTCTTATATGCCTAAAGGGACTGTAAATGTAATGTCTTCTCTTATATGCCTAAAGGGACTATAATGTAATTTCTTCTCTTATATGCCTAAAGGGACTGTATATGTAATTTCTTCTCTTATATGCTTAAATGGACTGTAAATGTAATTTCTTCTCTTGTATGCCTAAAGGGACTGTAAATGTAGTTTCTTCTCTTATATACCTAAAGGGACTGTAAATGTAATTTCTTCTCCTATATGCCTAAAGGGACTGTAAATGTAATTGCAAGAAACCCTTCATCTTTAAAATGACATCTCAGATTTAAACTTTTTATGATAAAGATATTGTTGTTTTTCTGTCTTAAATGTGTTTTCTTAATTGTTTTTGTAGCATAAACTTAACAAGAGAAAGATGCCACAGCCGAAAATAATCAATTTTCAGTTAGAAATCAAGGATATATGGTGCATTCTTGATAATTGTTTATAGGGTACCGTTGTGAATTGGCTGTACCACCCTATAATCAATATATATGTAATTATCGTCTTAACAATTAATTGATTTATGGAGGTCTTTTTAAACTTTAAACTTTATTTTGACAAATGATAAACAATTTATAAACTTTGGTATTCGGCAATTATATCAATACAATGAAAACAACATTTGATCAATCTTTTAAACAGCATGGATACAGAAAAACATGGAAACAAAGAGAAGCGGCCAGTTAAAAAATTCTTGTTGACAATTAAAACTTAAATAAAAAAGTCACCTTGATTATATTGATATAATCGCCTACCACCATATTATATACATACATACAAGGCTTAAGTCAGGGCTCATGTTCCCCTGTCGTAACAATTCATTGCTTTAGAAAGCCTTTGTTCCCCTGTCCAAACAGTTCTTTGATTTAGGATTGAAGCACTTGTGCTCCTGTCCTAACAATTCATTTGTTTAGGAAGCCTTTGTGCCCATGTTCTAACAGTTCTTTGATTTAGGAAGCCTATATGCTCCTATCCTAACAATCAATTGATTTAGGAAGCCTATATGCTCCTATCCTAACAATTCATTGATTTAGGAAGCCTATATGCTCCTATTCTAACAATTCATTGGTTTAGGAAGCCTATATGCTCCTGTCCTAACAATTCATTGATTTAGGAAGCCTATATGCTCCTGTCCTAACAATTCATTGATTTAGGAAGCCTATATGCTCCTGTCCTAACAATTAATTGATTTAGGAAGCCTATATGCTCCTATCCTAACAATTTATTGATTTAGGAAGCCTATATGTTCCTGTCCTAACAGTTAATTGATTTAGGAAGCCTATATGCTCCTGTCCTAAATCTAAGGTCTACGGCATTGGGTTGAAAAGATATAGGGATTAGAGAATCTGAGGTAGTGGCAAAAAATAAAATCCGTTATCCAGTTGCAATATATAAAAATTCAAGCATTTGTTCTTTCCCAATAACTATTCAATAAAAAGAATTCTGTTTTAAAACATATAAAATTTCAATCTTACGTGCAATTTACTTTACTTTGATATACTTTTAAACATTTAGGTTTTATCTATTTTATCCCTTTAAAGGGACTGTAAGCGTAATTTCAAGTAACCATTCAAGCATGGATGACAATGCCCGATTTACAACGGTTCCCTTGAAAACTTTGTCTGATCAAGTATAAATCAGATATCAATGCTTATTTGTGACCAAAACAGGTCTAACTGGAACGGTACCAATGTCCATGGCCATTTGTGTACTTTGTTTCAAATTTCAAATCCAAAAAGGTACCTTGGGTACCAAATTGGACACACGTTCCATTCTGTGTTTCTCTGCGAAAGTGACTTGCGCATTTCTTGTTTATAATAAAAGCAATGTAGAAACTAGAAACTCATAATAATGCATATTTTTTAAGTCAGAAAAATCTTTCCATTGTAAATCGTGCATTGCCATATTTGCTTGGAGGGTTACTTTAAATTTAAGCTTATAACAATCCCTTTAATGAATAATTATTTATTGTGAAGGGTTTGTGTGGGGCTGGACTATCCTGTCAGAGATTACCAGGTAAAATCATTTCATTTTTTTTTAATTTTTAAATTTAAAATGGATTTATTAATGTAAGGAATTAAATCTTNCTCTGTAAGGGTAAAATTTGACATAGTGTAATCAGAGCAAATGTTTCAAATAAACAATTTTAGAAACATTTGTTTATCTTGGCATTCTCAAAATGTGCTCATTACAGTATTTACCATCAAGCTCTCTTCTTATGATATGGAAGAACCTGCCTCTTGACTTAAAAAGAAGCAACTCTCTAAGTATATTTAAAAATAGACTACTAAATTCTCTTTTTGAAAATTACATTATAATGTGTTATTAACCGAATTGCTATTCATGTAAAACTAACTAGATATGTTTTAATATGCTTTGATATTTGTTGTGTACATGTAAGAAAATTACTTTAAACTCTAGTTATTCGAATTAATACAGCCAAGAGCTATTTTACACCTAATTGCTTTATGCTTGTACTGTAAAAATAATTATTTATCAATTTGTAAACTTTATCTATCTATCTATCTACACTTTGCCAAATTTTGACCTTGAAAGAAAATATATGGGTAATTAACGAAGCAACAACAAACCAATTCAATGCACATTACTCACTGTAGATTAAGAAATCAGCTAACCGCCCACCAGAGGTTGCTGCGTTTTGACTTAAAAAATATTGCAATAAAAACATTTCAAGATCGTCTAAACGGTTGCGAGTTGACGTAGCAACCCCCCGTCCGTTGGGCGGTTGGCTTAATTCCAATATTGATCACCCTTACTGTAGATGCGTGGATGAACTAACAGGAGAACCAATATTTGGATTAGCGGTCAACCTGGCAGCAGCTACACAGGAAGGTAATAAACAAGAGAAGATTTAACCGTTCGATCCTTATCCCAGAGAACTGTAACTTTCGATCACAATTTTATCTATGAAACATCCTTTATTCGCCTTGTTTATTTTATACTTTTGTCGGTATATACGTTTTAAACGGAAAAGTGTAATAAGAGGCAACCACGTAAGTTTAAAGACTTTTGAATTATAATTATAACACATGATTGAATTCAAATAAAAGAAACCAAATGCATCTCGCCCTGGTTAGTCCAGGGTAAGGTGTCCTACAGTTTCTGGGAGGAAGGTAAACAAACTTGCAGTACACTAAATTTGTAAACAACCGTGATTTTTTAGAACCATTTTAATGGTACAGTACCCGACATTTGAATTGGGCGGTGTCTGAAATAATTTAGTGTAAATGGATAAAAATTGTAATTGTACATACATACAATATGGCATAGTATATAGTCATCCCTCTTTTGAATGACATGTGAAGGACATGAAGGACATGAAGGACATGATTGACATGAAAGACATGAAGGACATGAAGCGTCTTTTTACGAATTAATCTAAAATTAAGTCTTTGTCACAAACTCAAATTTTCTAATCCCTATATTTTAGCAGCTTGATGGTGCAAACCTTTCATATTTCAAACGTAGATTATTTGATCTACCAGAATTCATAATTTGAAATATCTAAGGTCTACGGCATTGGGTTGAAAAGATATAGGGATTAGAGAATCTGAGTTTGTGGGGGAAAAAAAAATCGTTATCCAGTTACAATTTTTAAAAATTCAAGCATGTGTTCTTTTCCAATAACTATTCAATAAAAAGAGTTCAGAGGCCGAACTTAAAGAATTTGAGCCGCGGCTTAAATTTAAGCCGTGGCTCAAATTTGGTTGGTTCCACTTAAAATTGTATTCAATTTTTCTGTATGTAAGCCAGCGCTCAATTGAAACCGGTTTTTGGAGGATGATTTGAGACGCGGCTTCAATTCATTAAATTCGGACACTGATCAAAAACATATAAAATTATTATTGTACCTGCAATTTACTTTACTTTTAAACATTTAGGTTTTATCCCTCTAAAGGGACTGTAAGCGTAATTTCATGTGACTTATCAAGCAAAGATGACAATGCCCGATTTACAACGGTTCCTTTGAAAACTTTGTCTGATCAAGTATAAATTAGATATCAATGTTTTTTTCTTTTAAAATGTTTATTTAACATTTGCGGTTTCTCTGCGAAAGTAACTTGCGCATTTCTTGTTTATAATAAAAGCAATGTAGAAACTAGAAACCATAGAGAATAGAATATATATTAGAGAGGAATTTAAAGAATCTCTCGGTATGAATTTTTTCAGTCCCTTTCAGCCTGAAAAGTGTACAAATCATGTACATGTTCATAAATTATATGCAGTAGAGTACATTAATACAGTATGTTCCCTAGATTATTCATTTCAATTTCGAATTTTTTAAAGCTGTTAAATAAACTTTACAATGAATTAGGTGAATAAAAAACATTATTTGATTTATAGTTATAGCGGAAAATCATCGTTTGTAAAGTGGAAGGCATAGAGTCTATATGAAATGATCATTGGTCAATTATGAAACCAGCCTATTTCATAATTTGGTTTTCTTTTAACATTAATTTTAGATTTTCTAAAAATAATGTTGCAGGGCCCAAAAGGTTATATAGTATAAATATGTGAAGTACACCTGCAGTATGGAAACAGTACAACAAAATGGCCGTTTTACACTTTTTTCTAGTAAATTCCCCTCTAATATATATTCTATTCTCTTTGCTAGAAACTCATAATAAGGCACATTTTTCAAGTCAGAAAAACGACGATATCTTTTCATTTTTGATCCGATTAAGGTTTCAAAGGCACCATTGTAAATCGTACATTGCCATATTTGCTACGTTTACAGTTTAGAGTTTGTTGTTTAGGGTTTGTGTGGGGCTGGACTATCCTGTCAGAGATTGCCAGGTAAAATCATTTTATTTTTTTATTTTTAGATTTAAAATTGATTTATTGATGTAAGGAATCAAATCTTAGCCACAAACTCTGATTATCTAAACCATATGTCTTTGCAACCGGCCTTATGTCTCAGGCTTTAGATATTTCAAACTATTAGTTCTGAAGATCAAATAATATAAGTTTGAAATATCAAAGGTTTCTATTTTCAGGTTGGAAAGATATAGGGATTAGAAAATAAGAAATTTTATTTTAGAAAATTTCGTGATTTAAACAAAAATATCATTATATAATTCCAACAATATACCATATTTTAATCAAGTATTATTACATAGTGCAATTTTGATTTAAAAAATCACTTTTTAGCGTAATTTCATCAAAAAATCACAATTAAGCGTAATTTCAACAAAAAATTCACTTTTTAGCGTAATTTCAATAAAAATTCATTCTTTGGAATAATTTCAACAAAAAATCACTTTTAAGCATAATTTCAACAAAAAATCACTTTTAAGCATAATTTCAACAAAAAATCACTTTAAAGCACAATTTCAACAAAAAATCACTTTTAAACATAATTTCAACAAAAAATCACTTTAAAGCATAATTTCAACAAAAAATCACTTTAAAGCATAATTTCAACAAAAAATCACTTTAAAGCACAATTTCAACAAAAAATCACTTTTAAGCATAATTTCAACAAAAAATCACTTTAAAGCATAATTTCAACAAAAAATAACTTTGAAGCATAATTTCAACAAAAAATAACTTATAACCATAATTTCAACAAAAAACCACTTTTAAGCATAATTTCAACAAAAAATCACTTTAAAGCATAATTTCAAAAAAAAATAACTTTGAAGCATAATTTCAACAAAAATCACTTTTTAGCGTAATTTCAACAAAAAATCACTCTTTGGCACAATTTCATCAAAAAATCACTTTTTAGCGTAATTTCAACAAAAAATCACTCTTTGGCACAATTTCATCAAAAAATCACTTTTTAGCGTAATTTCAACAAAAAATCACAATTAAGCGTAATTTCAACAAAAAATTCACTTTTTAGCGTAATTTCAACAAAAATCACTTTTTAGTGTAATTTCAACAAAAGATGACTTTTTAAAGTAATTTCAACAAAAATCACGTTTAAGCGTAATTTCAACAAAAAATCAGTTTTAAGCGTAATTTCAACAAAAAATCAGTTTTAAGCGGAATTTCAACAAAAAATCAGTTTTAAGCGTAATTTTAACAAAAAATCACTCTTTGGCACAATTTCAGCAAAAAATCACTTTTAAGCATAATTTCAGCACAAAATCATTTTTAAGCGTAATTTCAACAAAAAATCACTTTTAAGCGTAATTTAAAAAAAAAATTTTCAGCGTAAAAATTCACTCTTCGGCATAATTTCAACAAAAAATCACTATTAACCATAATATCAACAAAAATCACTTTTTAACGTAATTTCAACAAAAAATCATTTTTAAGCGTAATTTCAACAAAAAATCCCTGTTTGGCACAATTTCAACCAAAAAATCACTTTTTAGCGTAATTTCAATAAGAATCATTATATTTATATATTTAGATCAGACGTCATCAACCTGTCAACGGAACCCAACCAACTGTCATAAGGCCCAGGATAGGTAAATTATACAGGGTACACTTAATAGTGATGAAAATAACTGACTCTTGAATCGTATTTTAGCGACGCAATATCCTGGTATTTCTGCTTTAATTAAGAGGCACCCTGTATATTAAGTTTTTTTACCTTTCCTGTTTAATCAATTCTATTACAAAGGCGAAATTAAATTAATGCAAATTTTGTAAGCTTTGAATTTTTTCATATTTAGTTTTGAAAATTAATATTTATTATAAATATGAAAATTTATGATTTAGTTATGATGCAAAAGTGGAGGAAGGAGAATTAGGTAATTTTACGAGATTTTTTACCTTTCCTGTTTAATCAATTCTATTACAAAGGCGAAATTAAATTAATGCAATTTTTGTAAGCTTTGAATTTTTTCATATTTAGTTTTGAAAATTAATATTCATTATAAATATGAAAATACATGATTTAGTTATGATGCAAAAGTGGAGGAAGGAGAATTAGGTAATTTTACGAGATTATCTTAAAAAACATAAAAAAAAATATTATAAATAAATATACTAATTTATTTTTAAGGGACTGTAACCGTAATTTCAAGTGAACTGATCTATTCAAATATGACTATGTCTGATTCACAACAGTACCCTTAAAAGCTTTGTAAATTTCATATCAATATTTTGTTTATTTGAAATTTCAAGGGTACCGTTGTAAATCGGGCATTGCCATCTTTGCATGGAGGGTCACGGGAAATTATACTTACAGTCCCATCAATTTAAGGAATGGATGAGTCTAGACCTCTCTGTAATGATGATGGGTTATTTGAACCTTTACAGTGTTACTTTGCAGGAGTCTGTAGGTTAGTAATATTCTTCTCTACTTAGAAGGGGATGATGAGGGGACATCCCCCCCTGGAAATTTAAGGAGATTTCCCCCTTCCTGGACAATTAGGGGAACCCTCCCCCCACTAAAATAAAAATAAAAAGGAAAAACAATCCACAAGCGATCGTTAAAAGACGATCGTTATTAGATCGTTTTTTGCAGTTATTCTCTGTAAGGGTAAAATTTGACATAGTGTAATCAGAGCAAATGTTTCAAATAAACAATTTTAGAAACATTTGTTTATCTTGGCATTCTCAAAATGTGCTCATTACAGTATTTACCATCAAGCTCTCTTCTTATGATATGGAAGAACCTGCCTCTTGACTTAAAAAGAAGCAACTCTCTAAGTATATTTAAAATGAAAAAAATATTGCAATAAAAAACATTTCAAAATCGTACATACGGTTGCGAGTTGGCGCAGCAACCCCCCGGGCGGTTGGGTTAATTCCAATATTGATCACCCTTACTGTAGATGTGTGGATGAACTAACAGGAGAACCAATATTTGGATTAGCGGTCAACCTGGCAGAAGCTACACAGGAAGGTAATAAACAAGAGAAGATTTAACCGTTCGATCCTTATCCTAGAGAACTGTAACTTTCGATCACAAATGACCTATGAAACATACTTTATTCGCCTTGTTTATTTTATACTTTTGTCGGTATACAATTATAACACATGATTGAATTCAAATAGAAGAAACCAAATGCATCTCGACCTGGTTAGTCCAGGGTTAGGTGTCCTACAGTTTCCGGGAGGAAGGTAAACAAACTTGCAGTACACTAAATTAGTAAACAACCATGGATTTTTAGAACCATTTTAATGGTACAGTACCCGACATTTGAATTGGCCGGTGTCTGAAATAATTGAGTGTAAATGGATAAAAATTGTAATTGTACATAAATACAACATGGCATAGTATATGGCCATCCCTCTTTTGAATGACATGAAGGATGAGAAGGACATGAAGGGCATGAAGGACATGAAAGACATGAAGGACATGAAGCGTCTTTTTACGAATTAATCTAACCTCCTAGAAGCTCCACAGAGGTGTGACACAATTTACGTTGCGATTATTTCATATGGAGATGATTCGGAAAATTCGTTCCGTAAATTTGATCAAGATAAATTGCACCATATACCTTTGTGTAGCTTCTAGAGTGGGTAGATTTATCCATGAGTTCAGTTTAAAAAGAAATTTAGTTTTTTGTGCTATAGTAAATATTGGGCATTTCAATTATTTCGTTCAGAATTAGACATTTCTGAATATCTCTGGTAATGGTAGACCACATCTTGAAATAGGACTTGGGTTATTTTGTGATTAATTTCACGGTGAAAAAAGTTCTTTAATTAGGTTGCTAATTAAATGCCGCAAATTATTTCAATGGTCAAAGACGACTTATATCAATTATTAGAAATTCCGCATCTTCAAAGGTTCTGTAAAAAAATTCTTCGCCAAAAATGTGGTACAGATTGGGAAGAATTACATTGTTATGTTAGGGGTTAACTGTGGATGTGGAAGAGAGATAGAGGTTATCAAAACTATGGGTTGCAGTTTGCAGGTCAAACAAAATACAGTGATAACCAGAAAACTCTGGAATAGGAGTACGACTTTATAGCAATACTTAAAAGTATTTAATGTTGTTACAAAACAAATAGTTTTGCTAAACACTTAAGTGAAATGGGTCTGTTTACACTGCACAATTGATGTGGCCCATACACATTGGAATCATAACTTAGTCTAAAAGTCGTCTTCCTCTTCCAGAGTTTTCTGGTTATCACTGTATACAAAATGTTTCGAAAAAATATCCAAGGGTTTTCCAAATACTGCTTTAAACTTGAAATACGCGCTATGTAGTTTTCATATCTTTTTATCCAAAACTTCAAATTTTGACCAGTAAAAGCAGGACAGAAACGGTTTAAAGGGACTGTAAGCGTAATTTCAAGTATCTAACTCTTCATGCGAAGATGTCAATGTCCGATTCACAACGGTATACTTAAGAGCTATACATGATGAATTAGATGGCAATATTTTTTATATTGAAACCCGCTTTTATAGTGACTCGCGCATTTCTACTGCTGGAAAGCATTTAGAAATTATAAGAAATACAAACTTATAGGCTTAGAAAACGACAGTATCTTCTCCCTTATTGCTGAGATAAAGGTTTAAATGGTACCGTTGTTAATCGGGCAATGATATCTTTGCATGAACTTTAAGAACTTGGCTAATCTGTCCAACCAAAAGTTTCCAGGTAAAAAATTCCCAATCCTTAGCTTAGATCTTTTGAATGAACAGAACAAATTTAAAACAAAGCCGATCGTTAATTGGTCACAAGTTTTGAGAATTGTTGCAAAATAAAAAAACTCTTTTTTAAAGGTTGACTACGACGGAGACACGGAGTTAAGTAAAGCCAAGTTTGGTGCCGAGTATACTGAATGCATTCAGAATCAACCTCAATACTTCAA